AATATTTTGCATGGTGCCATGGAGATCACATGCCTCATCAAACTTTCCCGCTTTGCACAATGCGCTTATGAGAGTGTTGTAAGTGAAAACATCAGGATTTACTCCTCTCTTTACCATGTCACACATGAACCCATAAGCAGCAACCATGTTTCCACTGGAACATAACCCACGAATAATTACATTGTACACAACTGAATCAGCAGGGACATTTTTCTGTGACATCTCCTTCCAAACCTCAAGGGCTTGAACCACATTTCCATTCTTAAAACAACTATCCATCAGAATGGTACAGGTGACTATATCCAAGGGTGCGTTCACCTGGCTACTATCTAAAATCTCTTCAAGAAGCTTTGTGTTGTTGTTTCCTACAACACCTTTCTGGCAAAGTGCATGCACAATTATGTTGCAAGTCACTCTATTTGGCCTAATTCCATATTTATTCAACGTACTGAAGAGATACAGAGCTTTATCTACATTGTTAACACTGCACAGACCCTTGATTAAGGTGTTATAAGAGACACAGTTGGGAGAAGGACCCATCTCCCTCATCTCTCTAACAAGCCCATCCGCCTTCTCGATGTAACCTAATTTACACAACCCATTTAAAAGATGATTGTGCGTGATCAAACCTGGAATAAATCCACTACGTATCATTTTTTCCCGTAGCCAGAGAGCAGCGTCCATCTTCCCTTGTAAACAGAGATCCCTCATTATAGACGAGTGAATAGATAAAGAATCATCGTAATCGAAACTCTTTGTCTGACATACACTCTCCCTACAAGAGAAACAAGTTGTATAGGCCTCATCAGAAGCAGTTTGCAAATATAACTACCTGAAGTTACTGGTGAAAACACAAACCTCAACGAAGCCAGACGATCCAAGCTGCTTTTCAAGATATAATCAAGCACATTGAAAATAGCTTCCGGGTCTCTCTTTTGATCATAATCTTTTTGATCCGAAAACCATTTCTGAGTGCACAAATGAGAATGATTGCCAGATGGAGGACGTTCAATACAATAAAGACGCATTTCAAAGTCCCTAACAAATCCATAAAGCAGAGAATCATCAGCAAAGAGATTAGATAGTCATGGAAACTAAATAAAATGAATCAAATCAATGTACCTTAAGTTTGTGAATATAGGAGCTAAGATCCTAGAGACATTGTCACTAACAAAATCAAGGCTTTGGTTGAGTAAACGAAGTAGAGTGAATTGAGAAGATGAAACTTCCCCACAAGAAATGAAAAGCTGCATTCGAATTTAAAGCAGTAAAAATCAACACTTTTGTATAACCCAGTACACAAAAAACAGAGTTCTTCAAAAAAACTTACAGCCATGGATTTAATCAGATAAGCTATGCAAAAACATCAACTTTATCACAAAGGAGACACGAAGCTAGCGATTGAATTGAGAGTGTATATACGCGTGAATGGTACACATAATTTCGATTGATTAGAAATTCTCGAGTAATGGAGTGTGAATCATCAGAATTTGGATCCAGATTGTAAAATGGCATCAGATGCTGAGGTAAGCTCTTGGTTTCTGGGCAAGTTTGACGAAGATGACGAAAATTAGGGTTCTTGCTTGTTATGGGCTATGGCCCATTAACTATCCTTAATAGGCTTAGGCTTAAGACGGGCCTTAGTTTCATATTTCTTTTTTTGACTTGTTTTCAGGTTTATATTTACCAGTAACAGTTATGTTCAATAAAAATCACTAAAAGTTGTCACTGTTCACTATCAGTAATAGATAGTAGAAAATGTTTGGTTAATTTTTTTATATAATGTAAAAAAAAAATCTAACAAATTGAAACGAAACTATCTAGGATATAGTAGATTCCATGATAGATATGCGTTTGTTCGAATTGAAAACCAGATGTGGGCAAAACTACGATGCATTTTTTTTTAAGGTCCAGATTTTAAAAATAACAGCAATCCACTCATATTTAATTTATGGTGATCTAGTGTTTGAAAGTTTCATCTCCAATTGAAAGATCATAGTTTGAGTATTTCTACTACGATCTCATGCTATAGTTTGCTAGAAACTAACGACATCATGTGACGTGAAATGAACTCTTAATTCATACGAATCAATTACGGATTTGCCATTTTTTTTAATAACATTTGTAGATTTTATCTTTTTTTGAATAGTTTGTAGATTTTACCATTTTTCAGGTTATAAAAATGTGATTTAACATTCGTTTTATTCGTTATATTTGAGTTTAGTCGGTTTCATTTATTCTTAGAGTTTAGTATTTGGTATAAGGTACATATTTGCAAAAAAAGTCTTAAATACGTTTATTTTTAAGTGTCAAAAAATGGCAAATCGTAAAATTTTAGTCAAAATTGTATTTTTAAAAGATTTTGATGAAAAAGGCCAAAATCAACAATAATGCCTAATTCATACCCTTAAGAGAGGAAATAAAATCAAGAGCAACTAAAAAATCAAGAACAAAATTATGATTTAACACGTACAAACGGAAGTTTATGTTTTTTTCAACCATATTTTCTTTGACATTTTTCTCCTAAAAGATTTGTGCATTAATATATATGTATGCCGACCTACAATTATATTCACATATGTCTCATAAGTGTGTGTCAAGTAGTCAACTTGCAAAACAAAAAAAAAGGTAACGCAAGAGAAGAATCAATCAATCATAGTTTTTCTTATGTTAAATAAATTGTTATATATAACACACTTATACATTCATATATATCCTTCGTATTCGTAGGCTCGAATCTTTTAATGGCCTTATCCATTTTAGGTAAGACCGCCACCTATTTTAGGTAAGACCGCCACCTTCTCGTTCTCATAACTTTCCTCAATTTCCAACTTTCCTATTCAGAATCTTTGGATTTTATATCGACCACTACTTCATGAGTATTAAATGGATATTTATTTTACTTAATGGAGACCATGATAGACCCGCCCGACATATACAACAGTACTACTAGTTATTGTTTTTTGGTGCTATCTTTGTATCGTAGGCCTGGTCTCGATCAACTTGCTCTACTGTCATTTGCCCCACAGAAAAAGTGCAAATCATACGTATATACATAAAGTTTGACGCGTAAAGATTTTATGTAATCGTAAGTATAGGTCAAAATTGGGTACGTATCATATATGGAAACATATATGATATATAATTCACACGCTAAAAAAAAAAAATTATCGACTGAAATTATACTGAAGTGTGGTATTACAAATTCCTTGTGATTGAACGGACCCATATTAAATTCACTGGTAGAGACGAAAGTATATCAGACACTACTATAGCCGTCTCAAATTACTTAGAGATCCTATTCAATAAAAGTTATTAAAGATATATAAAATGTGTTGGAGGAAAAAAAATTTAGACGTTTCATGTTCAATCGTTTTATTCGCATGTACTAAAAGACGGCCAATTCGAATAATGTTCTTCCTCTCAATCCATATCAGGATACATACATACATGGGTTTATCAAAAAAAAAAAAAAAAAATATCAGGATACATATAACGTGCATTGCAATATGCTAGACACTTGTAAAAACGTGCATTGCAAATGCAATATGTGAGATGCATTCTTCCTCTTCTATATATGTACTTTGATTAATTCTTACAATGAGATTTACTTCTTTTTTCTGTAAGTAGGTGACGTATGCATATCTTAAAAACAAAAATCAAGTTAACCTACAAACTTTTAAAACTAAAATGTTAATTTAAGAAGAAAAAAAAAACAACTTAAACTTAAATTATTTTTCTAAGGTATAAATATGTCATTTATCACCAGAGAAATTCATAAAATTGGCGATGAATTTTTTTTCTAAATTGTTATGTTTCATAGATTTCTAACTCAAAATCAGTTGGCGATGAATGAGATTGGCATGTGCATTATTTTTGATGCTTTATATTTTCCAATATAAACGGTGACGTTTTGTTCTTGTCCTATCCGGTTCTTTATATGCTCCGCAGATTGTTAAATAAACAAAAGAGAGAGAGAGGATACGATATTACGATATAGGAACATGATGATAACGCACGTAACTAAAAGCTGAGACATATTAAAAGAGGAAAGTGATGATGAGTGTCATTGTTAATTAAAATGCACAAAGATTTGGATTTATGATTGCCTGACCAAATATCTTTATTCCATCTCTACTTTTGTCGGCTCACAGTACCTTAGATTCTAAAAACCGACAACGCACATTTCAACATATTCCACAAATTTCGGCTTCTTTTCTATTTTCTTCATCGCTTTTATATACTATTCCTTGATTTTTACGTAAAATTACATCTGAGTTGATCACTAATTGAAAACAACCTACGAGTGGTTCATGAATGAGAATGCCAAAAACGACAGTGTGTTGGCTTCGTATGTTCCCATCCGCTTTGGTCCGTGTGTTGTAACCTTTCGGAACTTTTGTTTAGATTAGGTTAATGCAAGCCAACGAGAAGTTAGAATCATCCTATTGTAAACCTAAGGTTTTTTTGTTTTTGGCTCCCAAAACCTGCGCAGGACAATCATATAATTTCCTATATTGTGACCTTTGTTTAGAAAATAATCTTAAACATGTGAAATGATTTATGCAGATAATAACCGCCAACCCATTTGTCCACAGATTTTAATTCCGCAAAACCCGTTGCATTTTTTAAAATTTTGAAGGTCAAATCCGCTCCGCCGCTTGAATTCATTATAATAGCTCTAATATCAATATGTTGATCATCAGCACATATATAGTGTACATGTACATTTAAAAGGTTTTTTTTCGAAAATACATATCGTCTTTTAAATAGAGAAACCCCCTTTAGTTTAGATTTGTTAAGCTTGAATTAAATAAAATAAACGTTTTAATAAAAAAATATGTATTCATGTATATATGGATATCTATGTATAAATTTACTATCATACCGTCGATGGAGTTCTGATCATTACCAGCGTCGTCTTGTTATTCCGATTCACATCGTCAATTAGAAAGAATGAAAAAGTAGAATATACCAAGGAGAGTTTGCATGAGAAGAAGAGAGCAAAATGTAGCCGAAGGACAACTTGCCAGAAATATGTTCATCACATACTTATCAAAAAAAAAATATGTTCATCACATAATTTATACGTATGATTAACAACGTTCCGGCAAGTCATCCTTGGCTGCATTATACTCTACTCCACTTCATGCAATTCTACTCCGTTGGGCACGCATGTACATCAATATGAGTGTGTGTATGTGTGTGTTTGTGATGGGTTTAGGGAGTGGAGTCAGAGGAAGTATTTATAAGAGAGAGAGACGTATAAACTATACAACCTCTCGGGTCCAGTATAATATACAATTAGATATTTGGTGATATAAATATTCGACCATCAGCTAAAGATTCCTATAGCAAGTGGCTCTAGTGCTTAACATAAAGACACTTAATGTTATAATGTCAAAAGACTTGGCCTTTCTCAGGCCTTTCCACCACCCACTCATAAAATCTTGTACATTTCTCAAAATCTTTACATCAATCGATTCTCTGAGTCTAACTTATTATATGGGTATATATTTTGTTATTACGCGCTAAATCAATTACATAATATTTAGCAAGTTTTTTTATCCAAATTTAACAACACTACATATTTAGAAGAAAACTCATTTGTTATAATATCTTTCATAGTCTTTGTCCCGGAGAGATATGCGGACCACAAGTTCATAACTCCATAGATATCCAAAAATAGAAATAATAGCAAGAGTCAATTTTTTTTCCAGATCAAAATACAGATGAATCTAAAGAATTTAAATCTTTTTGCATCTTAATATATGATAATGTAGCAAAATGAAATTGATGTCGCGTGAACTATATCAAATAAATTAGGTGGATGAATTTATTGGTGACAAAAGATGTAGGATAAGGTATTTAATTTATACATATCTCATATGTAAAATTTGTAAACAACTTTATATTGCATACAAATTTATATGACAACCGACCTAAATAATAATAATTCGATAGAATTAATGATAGTTTTTTCCGAAAGGAACCGCATGGAAAGGGATAGGAATAAATAAGCTGGTGCGCGGATTGGTCCTACTAAATTTTACTTGTTTAGAAAACTATTGAGGTCAAAGAATTATTGCATTAGTGGTGATTGGCCTCCATGCTAAATAAGAATCAAGAAAAAACGAAAAGGAAAGAATATATAAAGAAACATTACAGATATGAGAGATATACTTTTATTTTACAGATTTGTGCAAACAGTAAAAGATTTATTCATTTATTCATGTTTCTAAATCTCTACATATTAATGTGCATAGCAATTAGCAACATATATACATATATGGTGTGTTGTCAGTTACTCTTACCTCCAATACCTTTTGGTGTCTTCTTAACTCACACAATCCTCACTTTCAAATTCAAGGAAAAATGGGTAAAAAAACCCTCACCTTTTTAAAAAACATAAAACAAACCCTCACCTTTTTTTGTGGGTTTTAAAACCCTCACCTTTTCATAAGTGGTAAAATAAACCCTGATATTAATAAATTCCACTTATTTTTTTTAAAATCGTCATATTAAAACAATAAGAAACAAAAACAATTTAATTTATGTTTTTTTTTCAAATTCGAGTTTGCAATTTTCTTTCTAAAATTAAGGTTTTTGCGCTATAAAAACTCATTCACAATTTAGTTGAGATTAGGCAAATCATTTTTGTTACTATTAGAAGTTATGTTATATAAACTACAAAAATTTATAGGATAGCACATTTGATTTTTTTTTTTCGAGTTTTCAGGTTTTGGATAAAAGTATAGTTAAATAATTATTAACTATATGTAATTTATATTATTTTTAATGTATCGTAATATGTATATAGAAATATTAAATTTTAGTAAATTTTATTTAGTTTGTCCGATGAAAATATTTTGATGTGGAAATTCATATACTTTTCATAGTATTATAAAATTTGGTTTGGTTTTACGTTAGCAAATTTGTGTGATTGAACCGAATAAACCTTTATTAACATAAACCCATATTCGATTCAATATAAGAATTTATATATTATTCGTAACAAAATCTGTTTGGTTTCACTTTGATGAATTTTTGTAACGCAACCGAATACAATTAATTTTTTTACATCATGACTTAAAAAATTTTAATTTAGGAAAAAGATTGTAAACTGGAATTTTAAAAGAAAAATCCTAAATCAAATTTTTTATATTTACTATGTTTAATATAACGATTTGCTTGAATTTAAATTGAGTTATTAATAATAGGGTTTATTTTACCATTTATGGAAAGATGAGGGTTTAAAAACCCACAAAAAAAGGTGAGGGTTTGTTTTATGTTTTTTAAAAAGGTGAGGGTTTTTCTACCCATTTTTCCCAAATTCAAGCAATGGTTCTATATTTCTTTATAAAATAAGGCTTAAGACTGTGACAAGGAAAACTTGAATTCAAGCATGGGTCTAGTGACCTTCCTTATTGCTCAAAGAATATAGCATAAACTGGTGTTTTTAGTTTTAGTGGATTCGATTGGTTAATCACTAGATGATATCTAGTTATAAATTTATAATCAATACAATGATTATAGGTCTCAAAATTAGTTTTAAATTTAATTAATAAGATTCGACTGATATAAACCAGGATTGTTATAGGGAATTAGTATGGCTTAATTAGGCAATAATCGACTTTTCTAACTTTTTTTTTTCTTCTGAGAACTTCTATTGGTATAGCTTAATTGTTAAATAAATGGAAAACCAAAAATGGAACCTAAAAGGTGTGGCGCCGCCAACAAATGCACCGCCCCTATCTCATTGTGTTGGTCGGGACATGTAAATATCCAAACCTCAAAGCTAAGATAATGTTTTTGAAATGACTTTTTCATCATTAGATAGGGAAGTGATTTTGTTGCTTTAGTGTATTCTTAGATTTAGTGACATTTGTCAACTCTTTGGCATATCCACAACTTATTCTACAAATTTACTAGTAGCTGATAATAGTTTTTTTTAATGTCAAAAACATATCCATTAGATTTTTTTTTTGTCCATTAATTAATGGTTGGGAACCCAGGCTTCTATCAATATTGCTAAAGTCTTGTCTATCCAGGAGTTAATGAATTCCACGCCGAGGCATTATTACGATGAACACGGTGTAGTTGGTCCTTTTATAGATAATGAAGTTGGAATTTTAAATGTTTATGCTCTTGCCCATCATTTTAGAGAGAGTGGAACAGTATACGAAGAAGATTGTCCTATCACTGAGGAGCATGTTTTCCTGGATGAGAGCACAACGACTGAGGTAAAATGTTCTCTCTCCTTCATTCTCTTCTCTCTTTGTTAAATTAACCTTTAATTAATGTTGTTTTCCCTTGATACAGGGATGTGAGAGAATTATCCCAAGCATTTGTGACGTTCATTCTATCTATGAATACATAGCGGACTATGGTGGTGAGGATGGTGTATCAATGTTTCATCAAGAGTTGGAGTATCAGCTCAGGGAGGGAGGACCACTCAGTATTCAATTCGAAGTGTATCCTTCTTATTACACCACTCAGGTCAGGAATTGTATTTTAATTCTGCTTCTTAGTTTACTTTCATATATTTTCTAAAGCATTTGATTTCCCATCTTTGTTTTTGTGGATTAATACTTGATCTCAGAATCCCACTAATTTTTAACTTTTTTTTTTTTTAGGGAAACCTCTATAATCCTTCTAATTCTGAACTTGAGTTCATTCCTCTTGGTGGACACTATGTCATCGCCACTGCATTAGGCACACTTAATGGATTCCTCGCCTTGGAGTGTCAAGATACACTACTAGAAAACAAATATTTTGTTAGAATTTTCCAACAACTTAAAAGTTATTGCTTCTATCCAACAATATATAATATTTGTTGGAAAATTCCAATTATATTCATACAAATTATACAACGTAATTACCACAACTAAAATTTGTAATGAATTTCCAACGATATAATATTTCTTGGAGATTTTCAACGACTTTCCTACAAAGTATGCAATGTAATTGTCACAATTATAATTTGTTGCAAATTTGCACTGAATTTCCAACAATATAGTATTTGTTGGAAAATTTCCACAATTTTTCTATAAATTATGTGATGTACTTGCCACAACTTAAATTTGTTGGAAATTTACAATAGATTTCTAACAAATATAATACTAAACGTAATTTTATGGGATATTCATTGGAAATTTCCAACAAAATTCGATTGTTAGAAACATTTGTTGGAATATGCCATGTTTTCTAGTAGTATAATTATAATTTGATGATTAAGTTGTTGCGTCTTTCTTATAAAAAGTCTAATAGATTTTAATTGTTACTTCACAATTTTTGTTTTTGTTTTTGTTTTGTTTTTGTTTTTTGTTTTTTGTAATCATCTTCGAGGTAACGAAAAACTAAATTTATTGCATTAGAACCTTTAAAAACGTGAATAAATAGTTGCATGATAGAATACTTACTCTGTGGTATATATGAACCTACGACTTAGTGATATTTGGCAAATTGACCATTATGAATTTTTTAATGGTAAAAATACAACTTTTTAGAATATTAGTCTCTAAAAATGTTTTAATGTTTTAATATCTCTAAACCATAGAGACACATGTCGTGATCCATGGTTTATGGTTCTACAGGGTTACGTTGTTTACTTGTCCGGTAAATATTTTTTCAAGTGTCAACTTCGATATTTATGAAAATTTGCTATTTTTAATATGTGCCAATATATATAAGTTGCAATGCTAGCTCTACGTCAAAAGCTGGAATAATAAAATAACCATGAACATTGTCATCTAATGATAAGTCCACAAATATTTTCATAACAATTATTTGGATAATAAAAAACTAATGAAAACTCAAAAAAGTTAATTTATTACATACCATCTACGAAATCGGATAAACAATCCCTTTGTTGAAAGGCAAGCATCCTCTGTGAAGTGTCATACCCAACTGCATGATCAACAAGAGCTGATGCTCCAATCACATTAATCCTTTCCTCATCTTTCATCGATGATCTGACCAAAGCCGTGCAAAGAGAAGATGGGCTGTCTCGGATATAGAGTCCTTTGTTTGAGATTGTGTAATCGTATCCTTGGAAATGAAGAGTGAGTTTGGGCAATGAATCTATCTCTAACCCAACCTCGGTTGTGAAACACATTAGTTCGTTCACTTCGTATGCGAC